ACGGGAGTAGAAAGCCTCATCTTTCTATAGCTTTCTATTTATTTAACTATCTACCGTTTGTCTACCCCTACCCCCCCCTAGATTTTACCTTCGGGCCGTAGATATTAATAACCATTGAAAACTAGAGAAACATTAGTCAATAGAGTTGAATCTAATATTATATACATCCTCAAACTGTAACTTAGTTTTATAAAAACCAGAAATCATTATTATTATTATTATTATTTTTGCTTGAACAGTTTTGATGTAATCATATTGTTACTTTATTTACACAGGGAAATCTTTCCTAAGAAATCGGCTGTTTAGGGGATTGGACTCCTGGCCCCCTTCCTTTTGTGTAGGTATTTATTTCCTACCCTTGACTAAATATGAGGGTTTAAAAAAAAACCTGTCTCCATCCTGGGAACATAGCTAATTGTTTTTCTTTTTAATCAACATAAAATGTGCTTTGGCTTCAAAAGTCAGTTGGCATTAAGTTTTAATCTTCATAACAAAAATGGTGACCTACATTCTTTGGATTGGTAGGAATAGCTCCATTGATCTTTTTTGTTGTTCTTGTTTCCTTATTTCATGGTTTGACAAGAACAGGTTGGCTCTTCGTTTGGCATTCATTAGAATAAACCTTGACACATTAGCTTCACATAGTTTTAAACTAATCCTATTGGAGGACCACCATCTAAGAAGTGGCCATTTGTTCATGCATTCTGTTGTCCAGGAGCGACCCCCACCCCACCCTTGAACCTGAAATTGATGGAGAGTTTTATTTTGGGAAATAGTGAAAAAAAAAATTTTTTTTTTAATGTAACAGAAAAAGAATATTTTTACTGTGTTATACTAACAAGACTAGCTCTGGTCCTGCAGTGCTTAGAGCAGTCAGGTACTAAGCAAAAAGTGTGTGGTTTGAACCTACTAGCCACTCTGCAGGGGAAAGATGTGGCAATCTGCTTCTGTAAATATTGGCAGCCTTTGTCCTGTTGGGTAGGTATTAATTGAACTTGCTGGCTGTACGCTTAGTTTCGGTTTATAAAAATAAGACATACCATGATTGTATTATATACTCAGGGCCACTGAGTCGATTTCGACTCATATGGACCCTTTTGTACAGAGTAGAACTACTCCTTAGGGCTTCCGAGACTAAGTGAGATTAAATATTTACAGGAGCAAACAGCCCCTTCTCTGTTCCATGGAGCAGCTGGTAGGTTTGAACCACTGACCTTGAGATTAGCAGCCCAACATTTTATATATGCCAATCTAAGATTAGTCTGTGTGTCAGTGAAACATTCAATTGCTTCATTTAATATTGATGGGCATGCTAGAATTCCATAAATAGGTAATAAAAACAGAGGATTATCACATGTATGGTGCTGTAGGATAAGCACTGGACTGCTAACCAGAAGTCAGTGGTTCAAACCCACCAACCCCCTTCGAAACTCTGTAAGGGTCACTGAATTGAAACAACTCTATGACTCTTAACAGCAATGTTTCATTCATGAAAGAATCGAGAAAATACCATACCATGTCCTTCTTGAAGAGTACTGAGCTGTCTTATTGTTTCTGAAATGTGATACGATTATCTGTTTTGTTGAATTTCATTATATTAAGTCTACTTATAAATTTGTCCTTTATTTTGTGATAAATTCTTTTTATTTATACAGACTCAAAAGCCACGAAAGTTTGACTGTGAGCTTCCAGATATTTCGTTAAAAGATTTACAATTCCTGCAATCATTTTGTCCTTCAGAAGTTCAGCCATTCCTCAGGTAAATGCTATTATTATCAGTTATCACCTTAAAGCGCTTTCATTATATATATATGTAAAAGAGCTTTTATTTATATATATATATAAATATATATATATATATGTAGAAAGTAGCACCACCTACTAGTACTCTCTTAAGAGGTTCCAGGATTACTGAATAATTTGCCATAGATGGCTGTGTGATGACTTGTTTAGGAAATTTTGGGGGAACATAAAAATTAGGGGGGAAAGTACAGTAGAACACTATGCTTTGCACACACTAATCTTACTTGCATATTGTGGGAGATTTCTGACTTACTAGCTTTTTATTCTAAGAAAAATGTGTTTAAAATGTGTCTCTTCAATCAGTGGATGACTGCAGATGAGTTCTTTCACTAATATGCTTGTCTTAGTCTCATTAAACTTCCTTGCAAAAAAAAAAAAAAAAAAATAATAGTCATAATAATTCAGTCAAAGCAATGGCTTCGGAGGGGATCTACTAAGCCAGGGCAGTTCAAGACAAAAGCCAGCTCAGAAGGTTATGGCAATATATATATATTTAATTTCAAAGGTATAATTTTGATAAATGTTACTCAGAAGACATAAGACTGCCATGAGACCTGATTATAAGGAAGTTTTAAGAAAATTAAAAAACTGCATTACAGAGAAAAAGGCTAGGATTTTTGTTTTGTTTTTCTCCCCATTACGACCGTGCACCTGCTAATTCTTCAGGGTAACAAGGGCTGTCCTTCAAAAATGTCTTAAGAATACCTTATCCCATCTCCACTACAGGCCTAATCTTGACCCTTCAGACTTCTTTTTGTTTCCATAACAAAAGTACATTTTAAAGGAACATGATTTGAGTTCCCAAGGGTACCAGGCTACCATTTTAGTGTAAACTGAAGAGTGCAGAGTTCTTCAGGTAAGCGTTAGAGATAGAAACAACCCTTCCAACAATATGTAGACCTAGATGGACAGGATATGATTTTATAACAATGCATTTTGACATTAAAGAAATCTATCTAATTTGATTGTATTTTGTTTCAGGGTTCCCTTACTTTGTGACTTTGAACCTCTACACCAGCATGTTCTTGCTCTGCATAATTTGGTAAAAGCAGCACAAAGTTTGGATGAAATGTCACAGACCATTACAGACCTTCTTAGTGAACAAAAGGCAAATTATTATTTCTTTCAAATGGTTCTTTTTATTAGTTTGAAAAGGTGTGTTATTATAGCTCTTTAAGCCTCCTTCCCCTCTGTTTTCCAGACCTCTGCAAGTCAGGCATCTCCACAGTCTGCTTCGTCACCAAGGACAGAAAGTGCAGCAGGAATTACAACTACTACCTCACCAAAAACTCCTCCTCCACTCACTGTTCAGGATCCCTTATGTCCTGCAGTATGTCCCTTAGAAGAATTATCTCCCGATAGCATTGACGCACATACATTTGATTTTGAAACTATCCCCCATCCAAACACAGAACAAACTCTTGACCAAGGTTCTTTAGACTTGGATTCACTAGCAGAAAGTCCTGAATCAGATTTTATGTCTGCTGTGAATGAGTTTGTAATAGAAGAAAATCTATCATCTCCTAATCCTATAAGTGATCCACAAAGCCCAGAAATGATGGTGGAATCACTGTATTCATCAGTTATCAATGCAATAGATAGCAGACGTATGCAGGATACAAATATTATTGGTAAAGAGGATTCAGGAAATTATGCTTCAAATGTCCAATTGGAAAAATGTAGAGTTGTTGCCCAAGACTCTCACTTCAGTATACAAACCATTAAGGAAGATCTTTGTCACTTTAGAACATTCGTTCAAAAAGAGCAGTGTGACTTCTCAAATTCTTTAAAATATACAGCAGTTGAAATAAGAAACATTATTGAAAAAGTAAAATGTTCTCTGGAAATAACACTACAAGAAAAATATCAAAAAGAACTTCAAACTTTAAAAAATGAATATGAAGCTAAACTTGATGCACTAATAAAGGAGAGTGAAGAAAATGAAAACAAAATTAAAAAATTGAAAGGCGACCTAGTATGTCTTGAGGAAGTTTTACAAAATAAAGATAATGAATTTGCTTTAGTTAAACATGAAAAAGAAGCTGTCATCTGCCTACAGAATGAAAAGGATCAGAAGTTGTTAGAGATGGAAAATATAATGCACACTCAAAATTGTGAAATTAAAGAACTGAAAGAGTCCCGAGAAATAGTGTTAGGAGACTTAAAAAAGCTCCATGTTGAAAATGATGAGAAGATACAGTTAATGAAAACAGAATTTCAGTGTTTAGAGCAAAGTCATCTTAAGGAATTAGAGGATACTCTGCAAGTCAGGCATACACAGGAGTTTGCAAAAGTTATGTCAGAGCACAAAGTTTCTTTGGAGAAATTAAAAGAGGAAAATCAACAAAGAATAGATCAGATAGAAGAGTCTCATGCAACAGTTGTTCAGGAAAAAGAACAACAGCTGCAGGAATTAAAACTCAAGGTTTCCGATTTGTCTGATATGAGATGCAAGCTAGAGGTTGAACTTGCATTGAAGGAAGCTGAAACTGATGAAATAAAACTGTTGCTGGAAGAAAGCAAAGCCCAGCAGAAGGAGACCTTAAAATCTCTCCTTGAACAAGAGACAGAAAATTTGAGAACAGAGATAAGTAAGTTAACCCAAAAGATTCAAGATAATAATGATAATTATCAGGTAGGTTTAGCAGAGTTGAGAACTTTAATGTCAATTGAAAAAGATCAGTGTATTTCAGAGTTAATCAGTAGGCACAAAGAGGAATCAGATATGCTTAAAACTGAGTTAAACAAAGTAACATCTCTGTATCACCAAGCATTTGAAATAGAAAAAAACCTAAAAGATCAAATAGTTGAACTGCAGAATAAATTGGATTCAGAATTGAGTACTCTTGAAAAGCAGAAAGATGAAAAGATAATCCAACAAGAGGAAAAATATGAAGCAATTATCCATAAACTTGAGAAGGACAAAGAAAACTTGGTCACAAGCCAGGACCAAGACAGAGAACAGTTAATTCAGAAGCTGAATTGTGAAAAAGAAGAAGCCATTCAGACTGCTCTCAAAGAATTTAAAAGGGGTAGAGATGCTGTTGAGAAAGAGCTGCTAGATACAGTTCAACATCTTGAGACTCAGTTAGCAAAAAGGTAAGAAATAAGTTTATAGTCTGGAATCATAAAATTAATATAATAACTCAAATTTTAATTGTGTATGTGTGATTATTGTAACCTGATTTACTCATTTAACTTAAATACGGCAATTTTGGGATACTATATGAAGCAAAGCCTTTAAACTGTATAATAGTATTTTGCCAGTGTTTAAAAAGTTAAGAGATTACGTAGATTCGGTAGTGGCTTTAAAATGTGACTATTAATGAGTTTTGAAAGAAGTGCTTTCTTGAAATATTGAAATGATTTTTGGAAGCTTCTTTTTTCCAGTTTTTAAAGTTGTAAATGTCCTCTTTCTTTTGCTTTATTTACTGATTTCTTTCTGAGTTCTTGTAAAAATTATATGCAAGATTCTTTAAATTACATTGATAGATATTGTTGTTGTTATATGCTGTTGAAGTCTGTTCCAACTCACAGTGACCCTGTATAGAGTTTTCAAGGAGCGGCTGGTTAGCTTGAACCGCTGACTTTACAGTACAAATGGACCTTGCAGTCCAGCGCATTATTCCACAGCGCCACACTAGGACTCTTTAAATACAAAGACTGTGAGAATGATTTAGCAAGGACTAAATCAAAATTCTTAGTTTTCATAATTGTTTCTTGGTTACATTAAACAATTTCAATTATTGTAAATGGTGACATTTTGATAGGGTTTATTTTTTTTTTGTTTTTGTTTTTTGGTGGGGGGGCACTTTTATTTTGTTACTGATTGATCTTAATTGTATTTCGATCACAGAACATTGATCTTTGATGTTTCTATTTTTATAATATTATTGGGATTTTGTAGTCTAAAAGACAAATTTTAAGAACACAATCATATCAATTAATTCTATAATTGATTTTTCCAAGATCTTTTTAACCTTTGTTTCTTGCTATATCACTATTAATCAGTCTCTTATGATTAATTCCCTGCTATGTAATACTCATAAGCTGTTGAACAATTAAGCATTCCCTTCTGTTGAAAATTAAAAACATTATATTCTGGGCAGATTAGAGGGTTTGGTATGGGAATTAGGATTTGCATGCATGATTACAGAGTTGGGGAGCAAAGGGCAACGGAGTCCTTGCCGAAGGCCAGGAAATCTCTAAGTGAAGTTTCAGGAAAACGGAGGTTGAAGCACACTCTGAAGCTTCTAGTTCTCAAAGACTCCCTGAAAAGCTGATGCAGTACTCAAGAGTATCTTAAAAGCTCCAAAGATTTGACACAATCTGCAGTAGCTTAAAGGGTAGTGCTCAGTGCTTGACAGGAAGCTACTGTGAAACTGCATCTGGCTACAACCACCTCAAGAATAAGCTTGAGCTTCTTTTCCACCTTCCATACCTGATGTGTGTTTTTTTCATTGGCGGACTTGAACCTGGAACTCTACAGGGGATTTTGAGAAATGTAGAATCTCAGCATTGCAAAGCAGATGAGATCTTAGAAAAGGGGTGAGGGCAATGCCAAGATAATAAACAGTCAATTGACTCCTGAACACACCCCCTTTTCATCCAGCATTCTTAAATATCTTCTTTATCCATATAAGCTCCGAAATAAAGACACTTAAACAATGTTTCTTGTCTAACGTAATGCAGTTTATACCTGTCATATTACCCTGTCTTTAAAAGGTGAGACTCAAACTTCTGTCATATTAGCTGTCCTAGAGTAAACATTCAGGTGTTCATTCCTCTTTCTGTTCAGTCATAATCACTCTTTGATATTCTCTAGGTTATTTGCTAAAATGCAGGATTAACTAATATAACTAATGTTATATGCCAGGGGAAGAGAAAAGGACAAAGATAAAGAACTGATTGGTATGTACAGGCTTGATCACTGGAATGATCCTATAACCCTAGTAGATACGTAGAGCTTTCTTCTATTACGCATTAGCCAGTACCTCAGCTGATTCTAGTTCTTTATGCGATAGGCATGACTCATGACGTTTGTGATCTTTCTTTTATACAGTTATTGTGTTTTTCATTAACTTTTTTAACTGGCTGTGGGAATACTAGCATTCTTCCTTCCCTGGTGGTTCATTGACATGATGAGCCTTAGGTAGCCAAATGGTAGTTTAACCTTCCAGTGCACTGTGACCCTGGTTATGTCTCGTGGTGGTGGTGGTGGTGGTGTGCCTTGGAGTCAGTTCCGCCTCATAGCGACCCTGCATAGGGATGCCAAGGCTGTAAATCTTTACGAGAGCAGAAAGCCTCATCTTCTAGTTTTCTAATATAGTCCATAGGAGTCCTGGTGCTGCACTGTAGGATAATGCATTGGTCTACAAGGTCAGCTGTTCATACCCACCAACCACTGCTTGGAAACCCTGGACAGGGTCACTGTGAGTTGGAACCGACTCAGTGGCATTTAACAACAGTAGCAACATAGTTGCAGGGATAGGAATAAAAATGTTTGCTAATTGTTCATTGTGATGTTAAGTGCTTTTGAATCAGTTCCAGTCCGTAGCGACCCTTTATAGGGCTTCCAAAGAGCAACTGGTGAGCTTGAACCTCTGACCTTGCAGATCAAGCCAATTTTGCAGTACAACACATTAACCCATAGCACCATACCAGGATAATGGTGATAATGGAGCTCTTTACTCTACAGTCCTTGATTCTCGCATTTATGTATTATACAAGTGGAAGAATTAGTACCATAGTTCTGGTTCAGAACATATAACAGCAATCTTTGAGTTATGGTGTTGGAGGAGAATATTGAAAGTGCCATGGGCTGCCAAAAGAACAAACAGATCTGTGTTGGAAGAAGTGTATCCAGAGTGCTCCTTGGAAGCCGGATGGACAAATTTCATCTCTCATACTTTGGACATATTGTCAGGAGGGACCATTCACTGGAGAAGGATACCGTGTTTGGTAAGGTGGAAGGTCAGAGAAAAAGGAAGACCCCCAGTGAGATGGACTGGCCAAGTGGCAGCATCAATGGACGCAAGCATGGAAACAATAGTGCGGTTGGCCCAGGACCAGGCATTGTTTCCTTCTGTAGTGCATAGGGTCGCTAAGAGTCAGTACTGAATTGATGCCACCTAACAACAACAACAACATGACACTGTAATTGAGTCTTCAGCAGATTGACTGGTCCACAATTGTATCAGGCCAGTGATTATACTAACTGGCTTATTTGGTAAGACTAGACTTCCATGGGCATGAGTGCTATATTTCTTTCACTGTAAAATGAATTCCCGTGGTCAAAAATAATTCTAGTGGATTAAAGTACAGTAATAGTGTTTTTTTGGAGTCCTGGTATGGCGCTGTGGGTTAGTGCGCCAGACTACAAAGCCATTTGAACTGCAAGGTCGGCGGTTCAAGCTCACCAGCTACACCTCAGAAACCTATACAGGGTCGCTGTGGGTTGCAACCAACTCGACAGCACTTCACAACAGCAACAACAATAGTGGTTTTAGCAGAAACACTGAGAGCATGGAAAGTAAATCTGTAGGAAAATAGTTGTTTCTTCTGAAGACAGATTACTGTCCGTTTTATGATAGAAGTGGTTCAGTGTGATCACCCAGCTGCCAAGTGGTGGTAGCCAGATCAGCTTGATGTGCGGAAGCATGCATCAGCTCACTTCCCTGCTTTTTTATTTATGATTCCATGGCGCTGTGGGCTACTGCGTCAGACTGCAAAGTCGTTTGAACTGCAAGGTCAGTGGTTCAAGTTCACCAGCTGCTCTTTGGAAACCCTGTACAGGGTTTCTATGGGTTGGAACTGACTCGACGGCACTTAACAACATTTGAGCAGGAAAAATTCAGGGGAAAATTCCGTTGCCTTTCCCATTTTTTCATGAAATTTTTTAAGCCCCACTCCCCCCTCATCTCTGTAGACCTTGACATTTCTCCCTTCAAGTGCTTGACATGTTTCCACTGAGTAGATTCCGCTTAGCTATTATTTAATTAAGGGGCCTCTAACACTTCAATTGTACTTTAAAATATTGTCCTTATATTGTGTACCATCATCAGTAAACTAGGGCCAAGGGCCAACATTATTTTTTCCTTACAGTGAACACTTGTGGATGGAGAGAAAGGAAGTAATGTAACAAGCATGGATACTGTGGGAATCTGAACTTGTTAGACATTTTCAGTGCCTTTAGAACATATTTGAACCCAATCATGTATGTCCACCAGATGATAAATACTGCACATCCAACCTCATGGTTTGATGGGACAGGCACCAAGGCAACTCAGGTTACATAGTAACTAGTGGGTCTAAGGTTAAATTTTTCATTTTACAACGTCCCAGTGTCAAAATCAAAACTGTTTTGCAAGACAAAATTAATCATCTCTTAAATCCTAAGGGTCTCAATGGTGTTTTCCCCATTGGATTTGACCAAAGGCTCCACCACATACATTTTTGTTGTACATGGTGCAAGCACCATCTGCTGGGAAGTATATATCCTACACAAGAACAGGCAGCCTTTTAAGCAAATGGGTCAGAGAAGCATCTCCACATGTGATTAAAAGGGACGTCTGTATCATACGTATGTCTTGGGCCAGTATGCTGGCATACCCCAGAATTTTTGTGAGCTTTATTGTTCACCTTTAGCATGCATCTTGTTTCAGTACTTGCTACTTCATTAGGCTGAGCAGGATGTTACCATCTGTTCTTAAGGAATAACGAGAGGACCAGTACCCCTGCCAACTTGATTTTAGCAGGACTGGAAGATTGATATGACTGAAGGTACATGGCTTCCCTTATATATGTAAAAGCAAACAGCACCCTCTGGGGAAATCCAGCCCCACATCTACTTTTGTGAATAGAGCAGTACTAGAACGTAGATATGTCTGTTCGCTTATATTTTGTCTCTGGCAGCTTTTGGTAGAAGTTAAGGCTGTCTGGCTTAAAGATCCTGCATTTTTTACTGTCTCTATAAAATAGTTTGCCACATTCTGATCAGTACTACTAAGAATAAACCAAAATTTAACAGAGCAGTAGTTTCTTTTAGGTAAGCAAAGACTTTGTTGGTTTGCTCAAAGACATGATATTTGAAATGGTAG